CATAAAATAATATACGACTTTGATTCCTTTTCCTGCGTGATCAACTCCAATCACTCCTAATCACTTCTAATCACTATTAATCACTATTAATCACTATTAATCACTGATAATCAACCCTAATCAATCTTAATCAACCCTAATCACTGATAATCACTGATAATCACTATTAATCACTATTAATCAAGTCTAATCAGATAATCAGCTGTTTCCCCCTTGATATAACAACATCAAAGCGAATTAAAATTTCGATGTTATTTCAACAGTGCTGCAAAAAAAACAAATACCAAGCAAGAAAATAAGCAAATATTAAATTAATGAGCAAAGCTTGTTTGTATAAGCATTGATATAGTTTATCGAATAAATAATTATTCATTAGGAATAATTCTATTATTTTGACATCGTTTAATATTATTAAATATTATTTTAGTAATAATTGAAATAATATATCGTAAAGAAACAGTAAATCCTCCATATAAGTCTAAAACTTGTGATATAATATAAATAGCATAATCATCTTTTTGAGTTTTATAAGAACAATAATCAGGAGCACATTGATTATAAAAGGATGAATAGTAACTATTAGTTTTCCATTCTTCAATAAATAGTTCATCTGCTATAGTTTGAATCAATGTATTTGCTTTAAAACGACTTACAATTGAAGAATTAATAGCTGATATATTCAATTCGATAACTGTATTGATCGTAAACACTTGTGGCATAATATAATAATAAATCAATATATGTTTGATTATATAAACATTTAAATGTTGACTGCAATAATGTTTCCACAACTGAACATTCAATATTCCATCTAGGTATTGCAAATACTTCAGATACTTTAATATTATTTAAACTATAATGAATTCCTCCTGAATCAATACAATCTCTTTGTGTTCCACATGAACATCCATCTTTCATTATTATTAGACTAATTGGAATTACTGGAGAAGTACTATTTATGTCTCTTCACCAATACCAATTCAAAAAATATGAAGATACAAAAGCATTTCCATTCATTATGCCACGTAGAAGTTTTAAACTTCGAGAAAATTTTGTTAAAGTTTCGCTTTAAAATTGTAAAATAATATTTTCAATTTGAATATTAAATTCAGATTCTGATATTAATTTAGTATTGATAAATATTTCATTAAGAAATTGTTCGATTGTATTGCTGATTGTCGTTTGAGAAATTTGACATAGATTTGAAAGAAATAAAAAATATGCACTACCACGTACACGAATATCACGTCGTTCATAATCATATCAATATCCTTCATTAAATAAATAATTAATCCATTTCATATTAACAAACTCACTTGAACATATTTGGTGAAATGTTGTATTGATTTCTATAAAATCTTCATATTCAACTGATATTTTATTACGTAGACAATTAAGTGATTTCGAATGAGATATTAATAAATTGTTATAATCATTTTGAGAAGGATTTGAAAAGAATTGATCTACAATTATATCCGAAAATATTATATATATTGCTATACTATGTATACAAATTGAAAAAACTAATAAATAAAGTTTTGTTGCTATTCATTCTAGGCGAATTGTTTCAATATTATCTGACTCACTATGAAATAAATTTATTACTGAAAATTTATCTATTAATCGAGCCATCCGGTTTCTTATATCAGTACAAATTCCAACATTTTCTAAAGAAAATAAAATACAAGTAACGCGCGTCGGAGCGACTCGCTAGACCCTCGACTGATTGCGACTAGTATACTTCCAAAAACAAATTATGGAGATGCACTCTTTTTGACTCCTTATACCATCGTTTGTTGAAATATCTCTCAATTTTCAGCATTGTGCCGGGTGTCTCGATGAATCCACCAAAACTTTTTCTATATCATACACGAGCAGGCCCATCAACACTGTTATATCAGCAGCGGCTCGTCGCTCGTCGGCGTCCCTTCGGTCCGCCACTCCCGACTCAACCCTGCTAATCAAACATCCCAACTGTTTTTCACTCTATGCGTCACTCATCTGTTCTTGTTACACGATCATTTAAGAGTGAGCACTCTCTAGGTATACTTTCCTATATAGTGGGCGAGGGAAGCATATCGAGAAACCAATGGTGCTATCGGATCCCCCGCTCCCCAGCACTTACGATTATGGTTTTGAAAGTTTTTCCGACTGAATGTGTTTTGTTGACACCAACGTTCCTGTCACCTCTTCAGAGAGGCAGACAAACTATTTTTTCTTACACCTTCCTTACAGTCGAGAAAAGAAAACAGTCTCACCACTTCGTACAACGCATTTCAGGGGTGTGTGATGTTGGTAGATGTGGGTAAGATTATTTTGCCACTCAACATTCTCATCCACCTGTTCTCACCATCACCCAACCCCGAAACCAACCCACCCTATCACCCACACCCACACTCACACCCACACCCAACCTCACCGCATCAAAGAACGTCTAGAAATGTGTTTTTCGAAAAATTAGATTTCGATATTTTTTTGAGCTTTCACCCACCCTCACCCACTTCTCACCCCATGGTCACCCAATCGACCTCAGATTCAAATTCCCCGCATCAAAAAGCCTCTAGAAATGTGTTTTTTCGAAAAATTAGTTTTCAGTGTTTTTTTGACGCTTGACCCTTGACCTTTGACCTTTGGCTCCGTGCAAGCAAGCAAGCAACGCTTTTTCGTTTTTTTCGTATCACCCTCCTTTCAGTCGAGGGAATATAAGAAATTTCGTTGGAATTTCAATATTTTCTTTTTGTTTTCTACTCTTCATCTATCTTCACATATTTATGAAATTATAGAATACGTTCTCAAATAATGTGTAAAATTTTTTTCCAATTTCAATATCTTATTTTTATTTTTTAGCCCTCCCCTCTACCTTAGTATATGTAAGATGTTGCAGATTACCTTTCCCGTTAATTTATAAAATTTGGCTGAAAGCTTTAAACTTCTTTTTAACTTTCGACATCTGATCTAGCGTCATCTGTCTATGGTAGCGTTCAATATGTTTTCGAATAATATCTGCAATTTCATTGAAATTTCTATATTTTTCTTAACCCTAGTCTATCTTTATATATATGACATTATACAATATCTTCTCCACTAATACCTGAAATTTCATTAAAATCTCTACATTTCTTTGTTATTTCGAACCGTCATCTATCATTACACATGTATGATGACATACAGTATCTTCTCCACTAATATCTGAAACTTTCTTAAAATTTCTAGATTTTCTTTTGATTTTATACCCTTTACCTACGCTCGTATATGTATGATAGTATACAATATATTCTCTAATAATAATTGAAATTTTCTTGAAATTTTAATATTTTATTTTTATCTTCCACCCTTCATCTATGTTTATATCAGTAGATTAGTCTACAACATGTTCTCTAATAATAATCGAAATTTCCTTCACATATCTAAATTTTTTTCTTTCCGCTCCCATGGCCACCCAACATACCTCAGATCTGAACTCTCCGCATCAAAAAACCTCTAGAAATGTCTTTCAGGAAAAATTAATTTTCGATGTTCTTTTGACCTCTCACCCACCCCACTACCATGGCCACCCATTAGTCGTCAGATTCGAACTCACCGCATCAAGAAAACTCTAGAAATGTCTTTTTCGAAAAACTAATTTTCGATGTTCTTTTGACCTCTCACCCACACCCACCCACCCTGCTACCATGGTCACCCAATAGTCGTCAGACTCGAACTCTCCGCATCGAAAAACCTCTAGAAATGTCTTTTTCGAAAAATTAATTTTCGATGTTCTTTTGACCCTGGCACACACAGACAAACGCATTTTCGTTTATTTCGTATCACCCTCCTTTCAGTCGAGGGAATATCTAACGTACGTAATCATTCTGCAATCAGCTGCATGTTCCGTGTAATAAATGATTGTTTATAAAAGTCAAGCATTCATCATATAATTTGTTTATAATAAATTTTAGCCAAGTACTCATTCCTAGCACATATGTATATGTTTATTATAAAATTAAATAAATTATTATCACGTACTCTGCATCATATACAAATCTTGCTTATTTATATTACATCATTTTTTTACCTTTATAAAAACTATAACTAATCAAATGAGTTTGTATCATTCTATGTAAACTCACCATCAATTTAAAAAAACCATTAAAAATTTATCTACATTTGATCGTAAAATGTTTTAAGACTGATAAAATGTTCTTTAACAAAAACACTTTTTAAAACAGTAGAAAATAAAATTTATTCATCTTCTCTATTTAATAGTCATCATTTTCTTAAGGTTTTTTTCTTTCTTACAACATCAGTATTACCTAGACAGTACTTGATTCATTAAGTTCCTATCTCCTAAAATTCACAGTTCAGATATTAAGAATAATAATAAAATACTCTTCTAACATAAATTTCAATATTAAAACCTTCATAGATGTACATACATTAAAATTGATTATTATCGTATACATATTGTAATTCTTATGACTTACTCGATTTTCAATAAAGTTCGATAGAATAAATATATTTTTCTTCTAATAGAAACTTCGATATTAATAGTGTTACATGTGTTAATGCATTAAAATATATTATTATCACATCTGTTTTTAGCTTAATTGAGCGATTCAATTGTCAAAAGATTTAAA